CAGGTACTGACTAGCTTATAAAAGGAATTGAAAAAATTGAAGCCACTGCTTGTTTATTGAAGGTTTTGGACCTTCCGTTTTTTTAGATATATCTTCTTTGATTATTATGCAACTACGTACATTGTTCCAGAGCCAATTGAAGCCTTATTTTGTCTTTGTAGGACAAATGGTCTTCAGCTTATGATTGTAGAACTATTCTTCTGTCAATTCAAAGTTTATTAGGAGGTCAGTTGGCGTTTTCCTATTCATGAATTTTGCATCGGCGTCTCAGCATTTGTTTGCCTGATCAAATTACTTTCTTGTGGCAGAGCCTAACCCAGAGAGCCCTTTAAACAGCTATGCCGCGACGCTTTGGAACAATAAAGAAGGTTGACTTCTTTTTTGTCAAATTTGCCAACCTTTGGTTTTGTTGTTGTTTCATGGAGTGTTTGAAGATGGCCTCTTACGACTTCATAGTTTGATATTCATTTTTCGATGGCTAACTCCTGGTTCTATCTTGTTAGCTAGGAGTTTCTCATTTGTATTAAGTACTACGATAGATCCATGACAACAGTTATGGTTCCTGAAATCTTTTGAAGCTCCATTACCATATTCCGGAGGGTAGTAGAATTTTGGTTCTCTATCTTCTAAGCTTGAAGCTCGAACATTAGATAGTACAAGAACACCATGAAGTGTCCCAGTGTTCTTGTACTTCTTGGGAGTGTTGCATCATGTTGAGTGCAAATACTTATTAAACAAACACTTTTGTGCTTCATTGGGCTCTTAATATTTGCGATGATGAGGCATGTAGATTTTCTGATTATAGAAATTTAAACGTGGGATGTATAATTTAATGCTTAATGCTTTGCAGATTACAGGAGAATGGTGCATAAACAATATTTTGCCGGAGAATCACTTGAAAGTTGACGGATACAATTTGAGTTGGACAGATCACCTTACTTTTCCACACGACAGTTGTAAAGCTCTGAAGTGAAATTCTTAAGGCCGGAAATTTGGCGATTTTTTATGTTGTGCTGCTATGTTTAGCAGAGATTACAAGGATCAGAAGTTCTCTGATAAAATGACTTGATATTTGTGTATAAAATTTGTAAAACTTTTTCTGCCCAAAGTGCCTCTAGATGTATACTTCTGGTGCATAATCTTTTTTTTATCTTTTTAAGAGAGATGCTCAGTCTTCATCAAAAAAGAGGGAAAATTGTATAGATGGCTTAGTAAGCACACCAAACTGATGAGATATGGCAGCCTATGGGGCCCGGTAGTGGAGAATTGCATCGTTGTCACAATTGAGGGCGGTTCTGGTTGCAGTTGTTCTGAAACGCTCACTTTATTTGAATATAAAAAAGTTATTTAAAAGTAAAGGCGGGCCTAAAAAATTAGGCCCTAGGTTCTTCTACTAGTGCCTTCTATTAAAAACAGTTTTGGTTGATGATCGGCTTTTGAAATCATGGATGGGCTTTTGAAATCATGATGCTGGATGGTGTGTTGGTTATCTTTACAAGTGTTTTTTAAAAACATTTTTTTACAAATTCAAGGTAAATTTTTTTTACATATTTACTTCATATGTTATAAAACTATGGTTTGATTTTCATCAAAACTATATTACAGTATAAAAGTTAATAATAATGGTAATCCTTAAAATAATTGTAATTTTGAAATGTTTTAATAGAAAATTGCAAGATTGATTAGATAATTTTTTTCAATGATCAAAATAAGGGAAGAAAATTATTTATTTTATAATTTTTAAACTCTGCACAAATTGTTGCTAAAAAGGTTTTATTTTAAATATTTTTAAATTAACATATTAAAAATTAATATGTCAGTATTTAAATGTTGGGTGTCTGAGTCGTCATTTTAAAATTGTTGACTTTAGCAATTTTCGTAACAGTATTAAGTTTAAAAAATTAAAAATATATTTTTTAAACCCTAAGATTAAAATTGGAAGAATCTCCAAAAAAAAAAACTTTTGAATTTTAAAATTTTAAATAAGTCTTGTGTATGACACTTTAATAACAATTGACAATATTTAAAAAATAAATAACAACATATTTTTATAATCAATCCTAATTTAGAATTTTGAAATTTTAAAAATATTTTTTTTTGCAATTATCCCATTAAAATAATACCTTTTTTTTTACCAGCATTAAATTAATTTTTTAAAGTAGGGAGGCACTAGGCTCTCCCTCCGTGTGGGATAAGAAGACTGATATCATACGTTTATCTATGGAAAAATGACATTAAGGTCCCATAGAACTAAATATACAGCAAAAAAGGTCCCATGAAATGTCATAATTGTTTTGAAGTCCTAAAGGGACTTAAATGTAATTTTCAGAATGTTGAAACGACTCTCTTGTCCTAGCTATCAGAAACAAAGACTGTGAGTTGGGTGAGAAGTTTCCTGCGCAGTATGGTTGAGAGAGAAGACATTGCGAAAGAAGGAAGGAGCCATTGATGATGAGGTATCTTCTTCATTACCATTAGTGAACTCTTTTATGTGAATCTCCACAAATCTTCAGGTCTGGAACTTTCTTTCCTCTCCTCTCCTACCTTTCTTAACAGATTGTGTATTTTTTGGAAATAGGAAATCAAAAAATCATTTTTGCCTTGGTATTGCAAAGCTTTTTTTTTGTGTGTGTAGGATTTACAAGTTAATTGATGGGAAAGCTGTGTTTTCGGTCGGTGTGTGTTGGTAATTTAAGTTAGGGTGTGTAGAATGATTATGAGTGCTTTTTTTTAGGTTGCTTATGGGTGGTTTTGCTTTTTCTGATGTTAGTTTAGTGGCAAAGGAAGAAAAAGATAAAAATTAGTGTGGGTAGAAACCTTAGCACAAAATGAGATATTGTGTTGTCAATCATGCCGCGATAGTTGTTAATGTGTGCCATAACTGTTGTCAACGTAACTCCTTGATTTGCCATTGACAATTGCGTGATTCTTGATGTAAGTTTAAATTACTAATGGCGAGTATGTCTGGAAATCATATATTTTGCTTTGTTCACATAGGGAGAAAGTTTATAAATGATAGAGAAGACGATATGAGATATGTGAGAGGTAGTGTAAGAACAACAAATATAAAGGAGGGCACAAGTTATGAAGAATTGAAAGAAATTATATCATCAATTGTTGGAAAAGAAACACATCGTTTCATGTTCAACCAATAAGAACCAGTAAAAACCAAGGTAACCCGCTGGTTAAGATGGGTTACTCGGTTTAATGATTTCAATCTTCCACCGTCAAGAAACAACATTGTTTCATGTTTAAAAAAATTAAACACAGTGAATATTTGGAGAAAAAACTGAAAGAAAGAAAAGAAACTCTAAATCTCTTTGCCAGTCTGTCTAAAATGCTAGAACTCATCTGTGTTCGTCGTTGCTAAGCATGGTTGTGACATCTCACTCTTCACTTCTTGCTCTGTCACCGTCATTCGCACTCCATGGTTGTCAGTACCATCTATCTTCATCTTAGTATTTGACTCACAGACTCAGCTCATGTTGTCCATGGCTTGCAAGTGCAGAACAGTAAAACAAAAAGCAGGCAGTGTGTGACTTAGTGGATCCGTGTGGCAGGAGGGAAAGAGTGGATCAAAAAAAAAAAATATGAAACTTGAAAGAGTAAACCAAGCCACACGAATGAGAATAGAAGATGTGAAATAAAAGTGAAAAAAAAAAAAAAAATGTATGAAGAGGAGAGAGAATTAAAAAATAAATTAATTAATTAAGTATTACTTTTTTGGGGTTAAATAGGAATATTTTTACACATTTAAATTAAATTAAATTATTTTAATTATTACTAGTCTAACTCGGTCTGACTTTGATCTAACCCATTAATCCTTAACCCAATGTCTTAACCAGTTTACTAACCGGTCCTGGTTTTTTGTTCCTCAAGAATGACACAAGCATTGCCATTGGCTTCATCCGCCCACTTATACACCTGTCTAAGAATTTGAAACGCACTATACACACCACATCGCGTGCAGCCCTGCAAGTGTATGAAATCAGTAGATACACTAAGCTGACAGGTGTTTAGGTAGAAATAAAACTATGGTTTTAAAAGTGTTTTTACGATATACAAAATAAATATGTGAAGGAGTTTGTCTCGATTTACTAAAAAGTGATTCTAAAAAGTGTTTCTGGGTTTACCCAAACACCCCTATGTATTGCCAGTTTTTGACAAAAACATAAGGCCGCGTGTTTTGATAAAAATGATAAAAGCGAAAACAATGGTGCTTATTCTCTACCCACTTTTTTCTCAAGTAAAACACTCCAATCTTTTTTTAAAATAGTATATTCAGTATTCTAAATTAGAATTAGAACATTGAATGTAATTTAAAAAGTAAAATTAGGAATGCTGAATATATCAAAACAATAAGATCAGGTGCTAAATATTCTATGAAAAAGGATCAAAATGCTAGATGCACCTTCTTAAATTTTAAGGTGCCGGTTGTTCTCCGCAAAGGTGCAAACATTAACATGATTTCTAACCAATGACTTTCCACCTAGACATGCCATTTGTCTCAGTTAAACATGCTTCTCTCTCTACGCTTTGGATTTGGAAGTGTTTAGATTAGTTTTTAAAAAGTGATTTTGCAGAATTCAAAACATGTAAAAAAGGCACTACAAATATGGAAGAAAGTATTATATCAACTTGCGTAAAAACATTTTTTTTTTTTCAAATGCCCCTGCTAGTTTCGAAGTCACAGTGCGGCAATTTTGTCACGACATTAGTCTAGTATATATTCTTTTTTTGTTCGCAGAAAAAAAGTCGTTTTTTTTTGGGCCAAGTACTCTAATAGTCTAAGATTGGATATTGGATAACAGGTGCTCTTTATTATGATTCAACTGCATGTTCTCTACTAGTAAACTGCGGCATTCATGATTTTCCAGAAAAAGCGTTTCTTTTGGCAAAATACTGTGATAGAACAGAATATCTTAAGGTCTTGTCACGTTGATTTGGTTCTTCTGGCAAGAATTCTACATGGGCTAAGGCAAGAGACCAGAGAGTGGGGGTTGGGGAAATTAACAATTCTAAGAGGCTATTTAGTAAATATACACAATGACGGTATTTCTGTTAGTGGATTACTTATGTGAGGTTCAAATGTGAACATCATAAACTACATTTTGAAAAGACCCAAAAAAAGAAAAGAATTGGATTAAAATGCAAATTAGTAACATTTATTTCGAAGTTCCACGGGCCCGATCTCAATTTTGAAAGCTTCTTCCTGGTCACCAATACCTCCCATGTGGCCGTGAGGTGGCCACATCAAATTCTTCCAGCGAGTTTTCTACAACACCAACAATCTGCATAATCTAAAGAAATCGGAATCATACATTCTCAGCAGCATCAGTTCGTGACTCTCCAGCACTGTGTGAAGTCGCCAACATCTTGGCAGCCAACCTTTCTTCCAGAGCTCGGGCACCTCTCTCTCTGCAAGAAGAATAGTCCCATTGATAGGTTCCTTTACACAGTGATTATTTACTACATAACGCTGTCACCATTGGTATAGCTTTTATTTTGCCACGATAGAACACAAATTTAATCAAGGCAATAGCAAGCAATGTTTCAAATTAGAAACAAATTGTCCCTTGGAACAAAATTTGATCAGCTATATTTAGGTGACCGCTATTTGTCAGACAGAAGTTGCTATGTCTTCAGACCAAGACAAAAGGCGTGTATTCTGTTTCCATGGTAGAGCAGTATCAAGCAAACGAAGGACATGTTTTGTTACCCTTATCTTCTATTTATTAATTATTCATTCAGCATTACAAAGGTTATATGCAAGCTATATATTGAGTGTATATATATATATATATAAAATAAAAATTAACCACTCTTCCGTGGTAAAATTAAACAAGAAAAGAAACAAAGCAAAAAACAAAAGAAACAAGAAAGAAACTTTTTTCCAATAATTTTTTTCTCCCTTTTCTTTTTAGCTGAAGATAACACTCAGTCAGTCAATCCTACAGGTAAAGAAATATAAGTAAGACGCAAAAGAAAAATGACAGACCTACAACTCCATTATTTAGTCACCTGATAGCTACCTTAAGAAATCATTTCAGTTCGAATGTCCATCTGAGGATGGATTGATATACTCAATTAATATTAAAGCACAGTAAAGTGACATTACCGTCTCCTGGATGCCTCAGAGGGGTCAGAACCCGGCAAAGGTTCACCCCCAAGAGTGTGACCTTGGGGATCATTAGAGGCATCAGATCTTCCACAGAGCATGCGATGAAATATTGACGCAATAGGGTCTATGACTGGTCTGTGAGAAGAGGAAAAATGAAAATGAGAAAAGTGCTTAAAGCGAGAGGAGTCAGAAGTCTTGGAATAGTATACTAAAACAGTAACTTACCTCAAAAATTCTGGGAAAAATGTGGAGAAAGCAAAGTCGTCACTTGGGTCACCCTTAAGTTTTGTCTCTACTCTCCTCTGCCAGTACCTAAGGTAAATCCAGCTAATGTACGTCCCAAATATTACAGTGGGAAGATATGATACTGCCTCTAGTGTCCAGAAGCTCAAAGCAATCGAAAGAAGTAAAGCAATGGATGGTAACCACTGAAAAAGGTTTAAAAGTGGTGTCATTCAGGTTACAGGATAGACTTCATCCTTCTAAAAAGTAACAGATTAGAGACAAGAAGGAAAGAGTATCAGACCTTCACTTTTATCTTAAGGAGAGGCAGTTCTTGATCCGGCATCATCTGCTTGATGCCAACCAAGAAGCCAGAAAGAACTCCATGAAATCCAGAAAATGGCATATACCTAGAAAAATGTGAAAGAGGGAAAATCAAAAGTTGCTGCCAGAACAAGTGCAAAATGTCAAAAAGAACCATATCATACAAGGCAAAAAGATAAAAAAGAAACAAATCGACAATCCAGAATTAACAAAAGTAGCATAGTTTTTTTTAAAAGCTTAACATATGATTAAGCCTAAAAGCATTGGACTAATAAATTTTCCCAAATATTAAGAAAGGATGCAAGCGATCAAGCTGCCTTTATTTACCACAGCATGACAGAATGTAGTGCAATTTCAATGTGCTGAAAGACCTAACAACTAATTGGAAGATAAGTCTAACGAGTTTAGGGGGTGTGTTAACAGATGAGTTCCTATTATGGTGATGATCCTAGTTATCTCCCAGAATCATCCCATTTTTCCTCTGGGGATGGGGAAGTTAATTTAGCTTCCGATTGATTTGAAACACAAGATCAGGAGTTCATATAATTTCAGCCATCAGAATGTTATGAATGAAAGAAAGGAATAAAATGAATAAAGTGTATTTAACAGACAGACAGAAATTTAATACACCGGAAGAAAAAAATGCACAGATTGCAGCTTAAGCAACAGACAGAAAATATCATCTCAGATGAATCTAGATTTCATACACTTACAGGTAAATTTCTTGTCTTGTAATATAGTACAAGGCAATGGCGGTGATGAAAATACACACAGAAGTCAGAAAGTTAACCACAAAAATGAACTTTAAAAATTCCCTGGAACCCCATACAGGTTCAAGCAGCTTTCCAATGAAAAGGAGACCAATGGTGCTGACAATTGCCTGTAGAAATGAATTATCACCAGCATTAACTTTGAGGTGTCATATAAAGATACCGGTATAATGACAAAATGCAATTCATGCAGTACACAGGCATAATTAGAAGTAATCGTAAGTGCATACAGCATACCCCATAAATGGATTGTTCAATATAACCAGCTGAAATCAGGTTCCAGGCAAAAGGGATAGTTCTGCAAAATGTATCAAACGGAAAAGAATTGAGTCATCCAACAAACAAATTTAAATTTTCAACATTAGCAGTTTTGTCACACTTTGGACAAACGTGAAACAACCATAGTTGCCTAGAAAAAGCCATGTCTCCAACCACATCTGTATATAACATTATCAACACAAGCAATTAAATAGAATCCAAAATTCATTCAGATATGCATCATTAAACTCAAAAACACAAAGCTTTTTTAAAAAAAAAAAAAAACAAGAACTCCAATCATAGAGTTGAAGAATAATTATAATGATGACTGATTATATTTATTCTATCATAAGTGAGTCTCATGTTTCTTATGAGTTCAATTTATAACACTGTAATCTGGCCATTATAAAAAAATAAACAAATAGAAGAAGTTGACAATGTTAACTCTTTTATCACATCATCATTAGAAGACAATAATCGACTAAAACACTTTCAGTCAAGTATCATGTGGTAAAGCAATCCGGTTCAGAACAAAAATATCTCAACCTTCAAAAGCATTGCATTACAGCCATCTCACTACAGTCAAATTTCACTCTACCCCCCAAATTACATTTTCCTGGACCAAAAAGGCAAAATAGAGTTTATAGAACAGTCCACTGGCCGCTTCCAGAAGGAGAAATAATTCAGTTTCAGCCTAAAAATTTGAGGAAAACTTCCCTTCCGGTAGTAAGGATCAACATCGGCTGCAGAAAAAATGACAGTCCAAACAGAGAAGCAAACAAAACTTGGCCAAGCAAAATTCAGAAACTCGACCATGCTCACCATGGAATTTTAGGATACTATTGGGAGCGTTTGAGCTTTTAGAGCATGTCAGATGCACAATGATTTCAAGTACAATGAAAAACCACCCATTCCAAAGTCCACTCACCGCGAAACTGTTGAGTGGTAATCACAACAACGCAAACAAAATTTTAATTAAAAACCACAAACTTAGATGCCGCTTGAACGCAACTCAAGACAGTTAATTTCGATCATTCAATAGGCAATAAGGAAAAACTGATAGCATAGATTAGATGCAAATTACAATCCAATGTACAAACTAATGCTATTTAAGTTGTTGATCCAAGACAGAAATTTGAAGCAATCCCATCATTTATTGCTGTTGATAGTCCCTCACTGATCATCACTCAGGCCGAAATTCTATACCACAAAATTTGAGCAGCACGCATTAGATCAAACCATACCTGGCGGGAATAAGGGCTAGGTAAGCAACAGCTGAAGGGAAAACCTGAATCGCAATGTGACCACCCACCAGTACCACCGCTAGGCCTTTGCACAAACGAGTAAACCCAGAAAAAAGGCTCGTGCCCTGCCGGAGTGAGAAATATCGCGAATCAAAATGCTTAGCAAACAATCACCAAAAGAAGTTGAATTCCAAGATCTGAAACGAAAGAGCTCAAAATATGAAAATCGAAGAGAGAGAGATCCGCATCGTACCCCGGAGAGAGCGGGAGTGCTCATGGCTGCTGAGGATGTGAGCGCGGATTGACGTCAGTTGCTGAGATAACAGGGATTACAGAAAATGAAGATCAGAGGGCTTTTGGGAAACGGAAGAGAGAAGTAACGTCTACTGATGGGAGCTCGGGTTTGTCACATGATTCATTCAGCATTTCAAGTCGGTCTCAGGATCGACGATCTATGATCTCTGTCTAACGCGTTCTAAATGCCTAACGATTATTGTCCATCATGCGCGCCTGATGCACACTAATCCTGACTGTTGAATCTGTAAAACTAATCTGGAGAGTCATAAAAGGAAAACGACATCGTTGCTATAATGCATCCTGGCCGTTGAAATTTTTTTCCTAATCGTGGCCATAGATCCCTAATAAATTTATATTTTTTCTCAACATTGATATCTTTTTATTTGAAACAATCTTATTTAAATTACAATTTAACACTAAATGTGATCACCTATCTCATAAAAAAATTGAATGTTGATTCACTAAGTTGTGAAACGCTAACCTCTACTGAGGGGGTATTTGGATAGAAATAAAACCATAGTTTCAGAAGTAATTTTACGGTCGACGAAGTAAATATGTAGAGGGGTTTATCTCGATTTGTAGAAAAGTGCTTTTAAAAAGCACCTATGAACTCATCCAAACACTTTCTAAATTATATATACACTCGTATCCCATATGTTTTACCGATACAAAAAATTTCCTCTAATTTAAAAGGGATAATTAATCCACAGCTCCTTATAGTTTTAACTAATTTTGAATCAGGTCCTTATACTTTCACCTGTTTTTAATTAAGTCCTTGTATTTATTTTTCTTTTTATCAAGTCCTTATAAGTTCACCTTATTTTTAATTAAGTCCCTGAATTTTTTATTCTTTATTTTATAAATTCTAATAGTACTATTATATAAACATAAAATAGTATATATTATTTATATTAGTTTATAAATAATAATATTCTAAAGATATTGAATTATTATAATGATTTTAATTTTTTCAGCAAAAAATTAATTGTTCTAAAAAATATTCCTGAATTAATTAATTCTATTACTTTTTTATTACATAATTATTAATTTAATTTAATTATTAATATTTTATATTTCAGTATTAATCTATTTAATTAAGTTTTATTTTAATAAATAAAAATTAAAACTACATGGACTTGATTAAAAATTTAGTGAAATTATAAGGACTTAATTAAAAGAAAAATAAATATAAGGACCTAATTAAAAAAAGATAAAGTATAAGGACCTGATAAAAAGAAAAAAAACTATAGGGACCTGATTCAAAATTCGTTGAAACTATAAGGACTCGTGGATTAATTAACCCAATTTGAAAATATATGTAAACTTCACTTGGAACTAAGCTGTACCTCATCCAAGCCTATCGACAACTAATTATTCAATTATGACAATTGATTTCAGTTTAATCGAATGGAAAAAGTTGGCTTTTCTGCTTGATATGGTATTACCAAAATAAAAAATATTAATTGCCATCAGAGTCTTAGATATTCAGGTCATGATATTTTGATTATTGTGAAACTTCAAAATAATATATAGATTAAAATATACATTTGGTCTTTTAGATTTATGTAAGATTTCAATTTGACTCCTTAACTTTAAAAAGTATACTTTTAGTCTTTTAATCCTAAAATTATTAATCTTAAATTATGTTTTTTTTTACAATCATAGTTGTTTTGAAAATTAAACTTAATATGTTAATATTTAATAATATTTTATCAACATTCAATAGTTCAATATTGTCATTTTTTATTAACAGTTTTAGGATTAGAGAATTAAAAGTTTACTTTTTAATGTTAATGGACTAAAATAAAATATTGTATAAAATTAAAAGACTAAAAGTATATTCTAATATAATATATTGTGAAAGTTAGAAACTTTCATTTTTAAATTTTTAATAGAAAATAAAGCATCGATCCAGTTTTTAGTTCTATTGGGTCAGTTGACCAATTTACCTAATTTGATATTCAATGGATATATGAACTTTTTATTTTACAATATATATATATATACACATAATTTTTTTTGGCCAGAAATATACATGATGGCTTTAATTTATAGAAAATACAGTAAATAAGTTTTTTTATTTATGAGAAATTTTTTTAATTTTTTTGTACATGATGTATATTTTATTTTTTTTAATGATATTAATTATTTTTTAAAATTTTTCTGCAATATTGTTTTATGAAAGCACACAATTAAAGGAGAAGAATCGTAATAATTAAAACAAATTTGATATTTCATATGATATTGGCAAAAAAAAAAATTCACATGATAATATCTACAAGTAATAAAATACATAGCCAATGTCACAAAATATAAATACACACATACAATGCATTTTTGTGTAACTAATATGCATAATTTTCCTATCCCTTAGATTGTCCAGCACCTTTGTTGGAAGTATTGGAAGAAGAGGGATTTATGTTGTTAGGTACTAAAAAATGGAGATAGAAATATGCAGAAGTTAAGGGAAAATTGTTAATTTTAATAAAAATCAAATTGCATAGTACATCAAGATGCCAAATATAACTTCCACTCTCTTGCATTACAACTTTTTTAGTACCCTGTGCAAATATCTACATTGCTCTTCTTTCTTATTAGGTGAGTGTCCATCTTCCATAGCTTGAACAATATCCAATCAATTCTTAGCAGGTGAAAGTCCATCTTCTATAGCTTCAACAATGACAGCCATTACCTGCAATGATAATTCAGAATCAAGTAATTCAGTCATTCAATCCAACAAGTTATTTATTTATTTATTTGTTTCATATAATCAACTCAAACAGAATATACCTACGGAGAGTTTATCTCACATATCTCTCATGCTTGCTCCCCCATATAAAGATGCTTCACTATCAGTCTTAAGAGTTTGATTTCTTTTTGTTCAATCCAGCAAGTTAAGTGCCTGCTTTTCTTATTATGATGGCTGAGATGGAAGCAAGTTCTGATTATAGCAATTTTGAATTGTACGATGTGATACCTGACTTCAGCTACTTCAATATGACAACAAGATCTGTTTCCTTCAAAATGGAAACATGTTTTGTTTAATATATAGTTAGTTCAATATGGCCATGGCATCTCTCGATTGCTGTAGCTAATTTCTTCAGTATTATGACACAGAGATCAGGTATATTCTGCCAAATTTAGTTAGTCCAAATATTTTATATCACTTGCGTCTCAAAACAACCAGCAAGCATCTTTTGCAGACACTCAACAACATCTTTACCTCAAAAAGTTTCAAGTTCGAATGTTTGGCTAAAACGTCCAGGGCAGCAGGTATTGGCATACTCCTACAAAGACACACAACTTAAAACTTCAGCATAGGTGGTTGGTTCCCATATTCAAATCTCAAATGTAGCTAATTAAAGAATTAGACTGAGGTTTGAATATAGTTATCAGGTTTTTCATTAGAACTATACATGTGCAGAAACTTTTCTAAAGGTCAGTAATGTAGGGATCGTGCATACTTATAACTTCCATCGGAGAGATTGACGGGAAACCTAATGATAATGCAAGTCCTCGAGCTTTTTTCCCCCCAAAACAGATCGGCATATTCTATCAGCACTAACCTTTATGCAGAAGATCATAACATTTGTCTATAAAATACTACCAAATTAAATGTACCAAAAGTTAAACCAATCGAAGTCATATATGTGCAGCATGAAGGAAAAAACGGGGAAAATCATTTGAGCAAATAAGCACTCAATAGTCAAAGAATGAGGAAGGGAGTGATGGAGAAGAATGACGAAGATACAGAGTAAGAGGTGTAATATAGATTACCCAACCATGGGGAACCGCGGAGCTTCCTGTCTGCGTGGGAAATCCCTGTTCCGAAGGGTTGGCCGTGATAGGATGTGGCAGAACGTGAAATCGGCTGGGCGAGGTCAGAATTTAAAAGCTTCATGAGGCTTTTTGTGAGCTCTCAGATCAACCGGACGGATAGAATTTAAATTTTCCGAGGGACAATGAGAAAAAGGCCGCTGAGAGGATCCAGACCCGAACCTCCCTCCTCTTCGACAGGACCCTTTTCTCTTTCCCCTCTGAAGCTCCGCCGACGCATTCGCCTGGCGCTTTCGATTACGCACATCGCTTGCCCAGTCCGACGAATCCTTCTCAGTGAGAGTTCGTGGTGGGTAAGTTGCAATTTGTGGCCTTCTCTTCTTTTCTTTTTGATAGCACAAGAAGCTATTTTATCCCCGCATCTACGTCTTTCTGGCGACTCTCTTATTATCGGTGAAGCTTGAGCTCTGAAGACTACGTTTCTCGACGATCCTGTTATCATCGTGTTTTGCTTCGATTTGTGGCATGATGCTTCCCATGAGCATCAGATGCAATACTTGTGGGAATTATATCTATAGAGGCACCAAGTTTAACTCTCGAAAGGAAGATGTGATAGGCGAGATGTACCTGGGAATTTAAATATTCAGGTTTTACTTTAAATGCACTAAGTGCTCAGCTGAGCTGACGACCAAGACCGATCCGCAAAATTCTGATTATGTTGTGGAATGTGGGGCAACGAGGAATTTTGAACCCTGTCGTGCATAGGATGAAGATGAAGGAAAGGTGAAACAGAAGAGGGAAGCTGAAGAGATGGGAGATGCCATGAAATCCCTAGAAAATAGAACTTTGGACTCTAAAAGGGAGATGGACATCCTAGCAGCCCTTGATGAGATGAAGTCTATGAAGTCGGGGCATGCCACTGTCTGTGTTGATGCAATGCTGGAGGCCTTGCAACGCACAGCAGCTGACAAGGAGAAACAGCTGGAAGAAGAGGACGAAGCACTGATAAAATCAGAGTTTTCTCAAGCAAATCAAAAGAACGTGGCAAGAATGCGGGATGAAGATTTAGAAACTGATCGTTTTATTGTTAAGCCTTCAAATGGGTTGGTGAAACATCTGACGATCATATCAAGAGAAGTAGAATGTCTGAAGAGCTTCCAAGCATAGCAACTGAAGCTCTGACAAAAGCTAATTTGGATAATTCTGGCAACCCAGAAAATTCGTAAGGTTCGGGGACTTTTGGGGGAGCAAAACCTTTTCATCCTTTCTTGAAGATCAACGTTGTCAAGAAAGCAGCCGAACCCAAAATT